CAAGGCCCTTGTGTGCGTGTGCCGCCAGTTAGAAACAGCCATCCTCCTGGCCCTGTTTGTCACCTCCTCCGGCACCCCCACCCTCAGGCCATCTCCTTGGGAAACACATTCCACTGTGCTGATATCTGGCCTGGCAACTCCGTGTGCCTCACCTGGGCTGGGGCACCAGCTGTAGGATCCGTCTCAGCCCTGGCAGCCGCACCCGGAAGGGCAGGAGTCGGGCTCAGGGGTTCCCCCATCCTTTTTCATTTCCTCCCCTCTCCATGTCTTCCTCAGTCTCGTCTTCTGTCCTGACTCCCACTTCTTTTTGTTTTCCAGAATGCAGCCAACCGGGGCCTGAAAGCCAGTGAGTGGGTGCAGCAGGTGTCAGGCCTGATGGACGGCAAGGGGGGTGGCAAAGATGTGTCCGCTCAGGCCACAGGCAAGAATGTGGGCTGCCTGCAGGAGGCGCTGGAGCTGGCCACTTCCTTTGCACAGCTTCGCCTGGGAGATGTGAAGAACTGAGGGGCAGGGGAAGCTTCCACTGGGAGGCATCCTTCCTTCTCCCGATGGATCCATCCAGCCAGCTCTCCCATCTGCCACGAGGACATTCGGATCTTGGGACCTTTAAACAGCCCTGTCTGCTCCTAACCCAGCAGTAACGAACTCACTCACCTGGAAGCTGGCCTGTGACTCCTGGCCCACGTTACATTTCTGCCCTGAGCCCTACACACCAGCACCATCCGTCTGAAACCACTACCCCAGGATTGCTATTTATCACTGTCCTGCTCGTGTCTGTAGATAGAGTTCCTTGCGGGCCTGAGGGTCTGGGTCCGCAGGGAGGGATCCTTGTGCTGCAGAGAATAAAAGGACTTTGTGCAATACCTGATGATGCCGCGTGATCTCGTAACCACCCGCCTCCCCGGAGCCCCCGTGTGGCAGCCCGCGGCTCCGGCTGGCTTCTGGCTCTGGTCCTCACCAAGTCCAGCCCCAGACTCCTGAACTTCGGGAGTGGCTGCTGGGAGGAGGTGGCCCATAGAATGGGGAGTTGAGGGTGAGCTGAGAGAGACATTAATCACTGAATAGAAGATGGGCCATGCAGTTACTGGAAGCAGTTCATAGAAGAAGTCCACTTCTTCCTTCCCTTTTGATGAGTCGTTGGGGCTGAGACCAGAGGTTTTCTCTGGTACGGGACATACTTAAGGGGCATTAGTTGCCTACCCCCACCCCTCTGACCCAAAGATGGACCGTGAGGATTGGGACCTGCCTGGTCCTGAATCCTTCACTCAGGTCTGAAGACAGCTGGGCTTGGAAACTGTGTGCAGGGGAGGTTAAAGGTAAAGGTACTGCTTGCTTGTGCTGGCTCTGGCTGAGTCCATGTTCCCTGGGTATAACAGGTGGCTGTGGGGCCCAGGTTCACTTAGGTCTGCTGACACGGAAGGAGGGGGAAAGCGGGTCTATGGTGGGAGAAGCAGTGAGGCGAGCTGTCACCAGATGGGGGTGAGGGGCTGTCCTTGGGGTGAGAAGCGCTCAGGGAGAGGGTGCTGAGGACCTGGCTTCACCAAGCACATGCCAGGTGAGGACTCCCATGGGTACAAAGAGTACACAGTCCCGTGTGTACTCTCCGTTCCATCAACAAGCATGATGCCAGCCAGGGCACTGATGGGAGGAATGACCAAGACAAAACGCCAGCCCTCTTGGGGAAGTCCTAGGGAAACACGTAGGAGATAGTCACACAAACAAGTGCAAAATAAAAATAATCACAACCTTCACAAGTGAAAGGACGAAGACGTACACCCTGGGATTGCTCGGGCCCAAGAGGCTAGAGGTCAGCCAGGCCGGACCGGGTCCCACTCCTGCAGGCCTGCCCAGGCTGTCTATCCATTTATCCATCCAGATCCCGGGGTCCTTGAAGCGGCCTCGGGGATCGGCCACGCTCGGGGTTCTCCCTCCAGGACGACAGGGGGCGGTGCGGCGCCGCACGCCGCTATCCCGACAGTCCTCGCGCGGGCGCGCGGCTTTAAGCAGGCGGAAGAACCCGCGCGCTAGGCCGGGACGGTGGGCGGAAGCGGCTCGCACGGTAGGCACAGCCATGCCCGGGGACCACCGCCGCATCCGCGGGCCCGAGGAGTCGCAACCGCCGCAGCTGTACGCTGCCGACGAGGATGAGGCGCCCGCCGCCCGCGACCCGACGCGGCTGCGACCCGTGTACGCGCGCGCCGGGCTGCTGAGCCAGGCCAAGGGCTCGGCCTACCTGGAGGCTGGAGGCACCAAGGTGCTGTGCGCCGTGTCCGGCCCGCGCCAGGCCGAGGGCAGCGAGCGCGGCGGCGGCCCGGCTGGAGCGGGCGGCGAGGCCCCAGCCGCCCTGCGCGGCCGCCTGCTCTGCGACTTCCGCCGCGCGCCCTTCGCGGGCCGCCGGCGCCGCGCGCCCCCGGGCGGCGGGGAGGAGCGCGAGCTGGCGCTGGCCCTGCAGGAGGCGCTGGAGCCGGCGGTGCGCCTGGGCCGTTACCCGCGCGCGCAGCTCGAGGTGTCGGCGCTGCTGCTCGAGGACGGCGGCTCGGCTCTGGCCGCCGCGCTCACGGCCGCCGCGCTCGCCCTGGCCGACGCGGGCGTCGAGATGTACGACCTGGTGGTGGGCTGCGGCCTGAGCCGCACGCCGGAGCCGACGCCCACCTGGCTGCTGGACCCCACGCGACTCGAGGAGGAGCACGCCGCCGCCGGCCTCACCGTGGCGCTCATGCCGGTGCTCAACCAGGTGGCCGGGCTGCTGGGCAGCGGGGAGGGCGGCCCAACCGAGAGCTGGGCCGAGGCAGTGCGTCTGGGCCTGGAGGGCTGCCAGCGCCTCTACCCCGTCCTGCAGCAGTGCTTGGTGCGGGCTGCTCGCCGGAGGGGCGCCGCCGCGCAGTCCTGAACCAGAAGCCGGAGCCACGACGGACGGCGAGGACCTAGCTGCCGCCGCCCTCCGAAGGACCCGTGCCCTCCGCTTCCAGACTGAGCGGAGCTAAGAATTCGGAGGGCCAGGGCGGGTCTGAGGAGGCGCGCACAGAACCATGCACTGGACAGCCGTGTTGGAACGGTTTTTTTTACAGACTGCCGTTAAAGAAACTTCTGCTTGAGCTGGTGCTTCCCAGCTACGACCCAGTTGAAGAAACTTGCGAATGCGGCCTGACTCCCCAGTTGGAAAGGACTTTTCAGGCGGACTTACCTGGAAAACGGGACTTGGAGCTTTTGTCTTGTAAGGGATGGACCCTGTGCAGGCCGGCTAGTGACTCCCTTCTGTAGAACTGGTCTGCTCTTGAGAGAATGGACAAGAGGGCTGGGCCTTCTCATTTATATCTGAGCTAAAACAAACTCCTTTGTATCTGGAAAAGTCTTTTATTGTGGTTCTTCTCAGTAGTGAATTTAAAGGAGCAAGGCTCTTTTGGACAAGTAATGGACCCTTGGTATCAGGGCTTGGGACCCCATTGTCTTGAATGTGCCCTGTTCCTTAGACCAACATAAGTAGAAGAGACCGGCTGAAACTGAAAGGTGCAGGGGCTGGTGCGGGGAAATGTGCCTTGGAGGAGGAGAACCTGCGCCTTGAGTATCAGAGTTGGCCACTGATGAGGTGTGACAAGAGTAGGGAGGGTTGTATGGGCCCAGGAGCACTCTGGGTGCTCTCTCCAGTCTTTGGTTTGGTGGGCAAGACCACAGCTCAGGGTTGGGTCCCTGGAAGGGGTTTGGTCCTGGGTGGAAGCTAGAGGCCTCCTCCACTACTGGTAAGAAGAAGTGGGGGTCCAAGCTGGCTGGCTTGCTTGCTTTTTTTTTTTTTTTCCTTTTTTCTTTTTGAGATTTATTAATTTAGAGAAAGTGCATGCAAGGGGGGCAGGGATGTGGCGGAAGAGAGAATCCCACAGACTCCATTCTGAGCATGGAGCCTGATGCAGGGCTTGATCTTAGTGACCTTGAGATCAGGACCTGAGCTATAATCAAGAGAGTCGGACGCCTAACCGCCGGAGCCACCCAGGCGCCCCACCCGGCTGGGTTTATTATTTGGTGCCGCTGATCCAGTCTTGGCTCCTGGGGGAGGGCAGACGAACTTCTAGGAGATCAGAGCTTCTGGGTGTTGGGAAACCAGGTACAGCCTGGCCATTATTCCATGTGGTGGAGCTGGCCTGAGTGACCACAAGAGTGGGATCTTCCCTGTGTGGCTGCTGAGCCCAGTGGGTTTGTGCCCAGGTCTGAACTGGAAGAAGGTAGGCAGCCTGGTCCCCTTTGTGTGCCCTGGCTTAGGAGGAGCTTCTGAACTTGTGTGACTCAGGGGCCTGCTCAGCTTCTCCAGGAAGGCCTGACCTCAGGGAGCCCCAGGACCAGAATAAGCCTTGGAGACCACATCAAGAACCCCTGGCCAAGGGAAAAGAAACACAAATTTTATTTTTGCCCTTTTGACATAATAGTATTTCCAGAGCCGATCTGAAGTACATAGTATCACACCAGCAAGAGACACGATAGAAATAGGATGTAAAAATGATACCCCTATTCTGAAGGATGGCTTTATAGGTGAGGAGTCTGGCACTAGAGGGGGTTTTGTGGGGGTGCACACTGAGGAACTTAAAGCTCCGTTTCAGACTGGAAGGGGGACTGTAGGCACATGAGTTTCCTGGGCACCAATGTGACTGGCTGCTGTGGGTCGCGCCACACTGGGAACTGGCAGGGGGATGGGGAAGAGGAGCCAGCGCGGTACCTGCCGTCCCCAGGAGCTGACGTGTCCGAGCGGGGCCTGGGCAGCTGCCCCTTGCAAGACGGCCTCAGCTTCATGAGCGCAGTGAGCTTGTGCTAGGCAGCTGCAGGCCTCCCTCTTGGCCCCTATCTGGAAACATGACCTCCAAAGCAAAAGCCACCATTCATGGGGGAGGCTTCCTGGATGGTCTGGCTGAGCCTTGCTTCCACTTCCACTGCGCTCATTCTAGAACGGGTGCCTCTGGTGGCACAGTCTCCTTCGGGAGGCCTTTAGGAATCCACACGAGGCAAGCAAAGGAGCCACTTGGGAAGGAGCCCGGAGGGGTTCCACCCGTCTACTGGCTGCCCTCCAGGTCTGATGCATGGTTCTTCCCCTGTAGGAAAAACAGAAGCAGGACTCTGGTCCGGAGGGCTGAGAGGCATGGAATGCCTAAGAAACAGGCCTGCCTGCTAACCTCTTCCCTCAGCCCATGTCCCTTTCTCAGCAGCTTCGGCGGCTCAGGGCCACTCCAGATTCTTCCTGAGGCCTGGAAACCCAGAAACACCAAAGTAGCCCCTTCGTGTAGGCCTGGGCAGTGGTAAGGGCCCTTCAGAGCTCAGAGGTCCAGGGGACAGGGCCGGATAGGTGGAGGCGGGAAGGCTCGTTACTGCCAGCCCCTCAGCATCCCGGACCTTGCAGAGGTGGCCCCAACAAACATGGGGCTTGGCCTGCTGCAGGGACCTCCAATCAGGGAGGAGGACATGTTAAGGCAGGAACATTTGGGCCCTTTAATGCTTTAAAGCCCAGAGAGGGCTTTTATCAGATTCAGGTTCCAACGGTCTCCTTCCAATAAGGTCCGAGTACCACAGCTCCCCCGGGGAGCATGGTACCCCACAAGATGTGGGGGCAGGGCAGGAAAAAGGCAGAAATGGGTTTTAACTGGTTCCAGGTCCTCAGACAAGGGGTCTGGGGCCATGAGGCATACCTATGACATGGTGTAGTGCTCAAAGCCTGCCTCCCAGCTTCCAGGAGAGGGTGGTATGTCAGGCCACAACCAACCCCTAGCTCCCTGAGTTCACCCAGCCCGAGTTGAGAGGGGAAAACAAACAGTACAGGGCCCATCTCCTGGGGGTCGCACGGGGCACATGTCCCAGGTCTCCCCTCAACCCCCACTGTAGGCTTCTGCAGGGATGTGAGTCTCCCCCTTGTTCACAGGGAGGCCACAAGGAGCCAAATGCAAGGAGGGTGAGGATGAGGGGAAGTGCCGAGCCACTCACTGCCTCCTCTGGGTCTGCTCTGTCCTCAAAGCTTTCTGATTCCGGATGGGCGCTCTGGTCCCTGGGATCCTGCTGGAGGTCAGTGATTCTGCATGAGGAACCTTTACTGCCTGGGCCCTTGGTTTCTTCACTGTCCTCTGACCCTGTGCAGGGAGAGTCACCAGTTAATGGCCAGGTTTGGAGGCCCCAGCTGATCTCAGGGAGGCCCACTTGGTGCCCAGCACTGATCAAGGGTGCTGATCAAGGGTGCCCAGCACTGATCAAGGCTTGAAAGGACAAGATAGGGAGGGGCTGGGATACTGCTCTGCCTCCAGATAGCTGGAGAGTGGATGGGTGGGTGGGGGTCGGGGAGGCTCACAGAACATCCTAGAAGCCACAGGCCTTCCAGCCATAGGAACAACCAGAGGGAGTGGGGGAAAGGAGGGCAGGAAGAAGCCCTGCAGAGGGAAAGCCTCGGGGCAGGATCCAAGGTGCCCCTGGGACCTTTGGCCGTGGGAAAAGCTGGAGCTCACTGGGAATGTGGCCTGGGTCCACAGTTGGTGCTCCACCTGGAAGCTGGTCCCTCTGCTGGTCCATGCATTCCAGATTCTCCAGGAGACGGTCACCTGGGCTTTGATCTGGCTCAGCTCGCCCCTGATGGAGTGCAGCTCCTCAGTCTGGACTGTTTGGAGAGGGGCCAGAGCTGGTGCCCACCAGGCCGGGAGGGCAGAGGGCTCTGCTGCCTGGGCTCCCCGGCCTGCCCTCAATGCTAAGGTCCGCCCAGCTCTTCCCTAGCCTTGCAGGTGAGGGCTGTCCCCCCTCACTCACGCTTTATCTGCTCTCGGGGCAGGTGGCTCTTTCTGGCGCCCTTGTGGGGACTGAAGCTGCCCTTGACCCCCAAGCGCACCTGGGTCTTCTGGATCTTGACAGGCACACGACTGATGAGCGGAGGGATCCTTTGGTACTCATACACCCTACCGGCACAGGACAGAGGGAGTCAGGCCAAGCAGCCCAGCCGTTTACCCAGAGGACTGAGGGTTAAGACTCACTGACCTGTAGGGGACATCTTCCCTGTACAGCTTGTAGCCCAGGTCATAGTTACTCCTGCTGCAACAGAGACAAATGGAGAGGGGGTCACTCTCCATGGCCAGAGTCCTCGCCTAGACCCCAGTTTAGCTTGAAGAAACTGAGGCATGCAAATTTTCCTTAGAACCCCAGGATTTTCCACCAAAAGAGTCCTGAGGGACTTAACCAAGGTCATTTTGGGGGACCACAGCTTCCCCATGTCTGGCCTCTGACAAGGGTCACGTTCCGGGTGACAGGGGGGAGACAACTGCCTGCAGCCTTCTGGCCAGCCAGACAGGGGCCCTCCAAAGCTTCCTCTGCCTGCCCCAGGAACAGCTGCCGTTCTGGAACTTAGGTCTGGCAAAGGATGAAAGGGAGGAGTGAAGTCAGGGCCCAAAGCCATGGTGGGTGCGTGAGAGCCCTTAATCCTTGCGTGGGGATGGCCAGGATGCAACCCAGCTCTGGCAGGGCCAGCCAGGCAGTTGTAAGGGCTGTGGCCAGGCCACCTTCCTCTTTGCTCTAGGCCTGCGGAGAGAGGAGTTTGGAAGGTCCCAGACTCTCACTGCCTGTGTCTCCGGTGTCCTACATCTCCAGGGAGCGAACTGTTGCCTAGGAGGGATGGGGAGATGGGTACAAAGGGACAGCTGGGTCGCGGCCTGGGCAGCGATGCTCTGTGGGGACACAGCTGCGCGAGCCCCCTGCGCCTGGAGCCGGAGGCGTGATGAGGGGGAGGGGAGGGGATGTGAGCGGGGGCAGCACAGTTTTTAAAACAAATTTCGGGTGCTGTGAGCCCACGCTCCCAGCTCAGGCCCAGCCCACCAGGGGCGAGGCTGATAGAACCACCAGGTCGGAATGGGGGACGTTCAGGGGACCCCCTTCCCTTTCATCCTGGCTCCCCCACCCCCAGGCCGGTGGGTGCGAGTTCCGACCACCCCCGCCCCTGCTTTCTGGCATCAGGGGGTCTGGAGGGGCGGCCTGGAAGCCGCAGGGATGCTGATTCTGGTGGTGGGAGGCCCGCCTTCGGAGGAAGGAAAGCGTCAGGAGAGGCGCACCCAGCCCCCGGGGGTCGCGGTAGGGGCGGGCGTCCCCGGTGGGGTGCCGGAAACCCGCAGCCGGGCTGCGGGCGGGGAAGAGCTGCTAGCGGGCGGGGCTTGGGGGCTAGGGCCGACCTGAAGCTGACGCGTCTCAGCTGGGCGCGACTGCTCGGAGAGAATTTTCGCTGGTCCGGATCCGCTTAGATTGGCCGGCGGGTCCCCCGACCCACCCCCTAGACAGGCGAGAAACCTCGGCGGAGCGCAGAGGCGGAGGCGGCCGCTGCAGACCCTCTGAGTCTCTGTGGCACTATCCTTGTCAGGGCAGCATTGGTGGTTCAGTGGTAGAATTCTCGCCTGCCACGCGGGAGGCCCGGGTTCGATTCCCGGCCAATGCAAACTCTCCTAGTTTTCTTTTTATTCCCCCGGTACCCCCCACGCGTTTTTTCCTAAAATGACATTTCGAAGTAGCCAGGAATGAATGGTACAGGAATGGTGCTTCACTGACCGCTTAGCAAGACTTGAGAGCTCCCGAGTGGAGACGGGGCAGGATCGGTTTGGGAGTTAGGGGTCAGGCTGCAGGCAGAGGGATCCCCTGGGCCTGAGGAAGGGGGGGTCCTGCTTCTCACCCTCACTACACCGCACCCCACCCCTCAGCAATCAGCCGGGGCTGAAGCCTGTGCCCTGCCCTGTGGCCTTACCTCTTGCCCGCCAGGGGGCAGCGCCTGCGCTCAGGGCTACACAGCCGCATCTGGTCCCTGGTCTGGGCTAATTGGTACAGTCCGCAAGTTGGGGCTCCGCACAAAAAGAGAAATAGGGCGCAGCTTTAGAGTGCTGTCGTCGGCAGAGGTCAGGCCCCTTCCAGTGTCCTCAGGGCCAGGGGCAAGGGGAAGAGACTTGGGGCAAGTCTTTGACCACAAAACGTTGCCTTCAGGTTGAAAATTTCCATTTTCAGGCCCAAGTCGCACGGCCTGGACTTGACGCCTTCTCACGGGGAGGACATCCCGCAGTTCAGCGGCCACCAGAACCCCATCCCCACCCTGCCCTTCCTCTGGGCACTATCCCAGGGGCCCAAGCCACAGCCACCACTGCCCACCCACAAAAGGCTTCATCCTCCCTCCTGGAGTGCCCCTGGGGACAGAGCATTACGAAACCCCTAGAGTCTCCTACAAGACACAAGGCAAGCCAACAGAGCGCGTAGGCAGCGCCATATCACTGAAGATAGGCCAAGTTCAAAAACCGCGCATTAGCCGGCACCAGACACCTGCTCATCCGCCCAAAACAAAAGCAGTGGCAAAACCACCCACACTGGCACACTCACAGGGTGACACACCCCCGGGCGAGTGCCGGCAGGGAGAGATTGGGCCTCATCTATGTCAAGGTCAAGCTGAAGGTGCAGAGACTTCTGGGAGCAGCCCCCAGCCCATCCCTGCCATCTCCTTTCCAGGAAGACGAGGCAAGGCTAAACCCAGAAGGCACAGGGCATTTACACAGCATGGTTCCTAACAGCAAACCCCTGGCCCACAGCCTCTTCCACCACAAGGTGGGAACCCCGCTCCACCCCCCACCCCACCCCCACTGCTCACAGGAGGGCCAGGAGCTGAGCGAGGCCACCACAGATGCCCAGCTCAGGGACACGCTCGCCTTATGCTGGTGAAAATGGCACGCGGGCTGGCAGAATGTGGGACCTCCTTTCTGAAAATGTTTCAAGAGTTCTTAACATTTTCTTTAGGCTTCCCAGGTTAGGGGCAAGGTTTCATCCAGGCCATGTTCCCATTTGTGACTTCCCAAACATCTCCAGCTGGAAGAATCCCTCAGGCCCCAGGCAGGTGGGACTCCCCGGGGAGGACCCACTCGCCCCGGCTCCAGGTGGGAGAAGGGGTACCCAGCCTCTGTCAGCAGGATGGTGCTGGGTGACATTAGTGACGAAGGCCCTGGGAATGAACGGTGTCATCTCCCTCAGTTTACAGACAAAACCTGAGGCCAAGGGAGAGAGACTTGCAGGTGCCACAGTGAGTAGATGGAGCTGGCCTCCTGGGATCTTGTTCCATCTCAGGGGAACCCAGAGCCTCGGACAAGACAGCCACTGGCCTCCTTCCCCTGCAGGCTGCAGGCAGCCCTGGACAGACTCACCAAGAGAGGGCTGTGCCCTGATGCTTCTCGCCCTGCTGGGCAGGGCCCGGCCTGGCCTCTCCAGCCATGGCGAGGTCTGAAGAGAGAACAAGAGAGAAGGTCAGAGCCTGAGGAAGGAGGGGGGCTGCATTGAAAGGGCCCAAGTGCACACAGGCCCCACTGGCATCCAGGCTAGCCCTTCCCTGCTCCTCCGCTCCGAGGCCCTGGGTATCGCTCCGTAAGAGGCCGTGAGGCAGAGCACCGCCCTGGTCAGTGGGCAGCTCCGTCTGATCTCCTTCCACCCCAAACCCACGACGGGAATCAACCCCATCGCCCGTGCCCTGGAATTGGGGGTGGTACCGTCAGAAGACAGGAGGGAAAATATCCGTGATCTCTGTGTCCTCTGAACAGACACCTAGCCCTGGCAGAGTCAATTCGCGAATGTCCTCCTGCTGCCTGTTTTGCCTGCCTGCTGGTGGCCCACGAGCCCCCGCCTGCGTGATAAGCCCGGGGGGTGGGTGCTGGCCGCGGCGGAGCTGGCCAGGGTGGCTATGAGTGAGAAGCAAAGCCAGCAGCTGGCCTGGGCTGGGGAATGGACTCCCCGCTGCCTTCTGTCAGAGGGGGAGGTAAGAGTCCACTGAACCCACGCAGGGGAGGGCTGAGACACCCAGTGAGGCGGCGTCAGTGCACTGTCACCGCAGATTGTCCCGTGTCTGGGCTTCTGTCCTTTGGTGGTCCCCACTTGAGAGAGCAGTGCTGTGCCCATGGCAGAGGGCGGGGCTCCGGTTCACTGCGCATCCCATTCGGTGCTCAGGGCCTGGCACTCAGCAGGCACCCGCTGATGTCCTCGGAATATGTAGATGAGAGTCCATTAAATCAATTCAGTTTTTTGTTTGGGGTTTGGATCAGACCCCAGAGTTTCACTTGTGACTTCAGGGCCCCTCCCTGGCCCCAACCCCTTTCTTCCTCAATCTGTGATCATCATCCGTGGTCCACCGTGGCTGCCAAGACAGAAGTGAATGTGAGCCTTCTTCCCCCTTTCTCCAGACTTCATGCCACATGAGCTCCGAGAGCACTCACCCAGCCCCTCCTTGCTTCTGGGGAGAACAGGATACTGGCGACAGTGTCCCCAAGGCACTGACGATCCAGACCTAGGAAGTGGGCAGGTTGTCACCTTGGCCTTTCTTTCTCATTTGTGGTCCTGATTCATCCCCTCAAGGACACATCACACAAATGCCCTGTGTACCAAAGCAAATGTCCACATTTCCATCTTGTCTGGCCTCCTGCATCTTTCCCCTTGGCACATCTTTATACCTGTGGTCACTTTCACATTTGCAATATCCAGAGGGGACAGAAAATCACACCCATGTCTACCACACG